CACATATATCACTGTGGTATGAATCTTTTAATTCTTTGAGGAAGATACCCAGCAGTGGAATAGCGGGGTCAAATGGGACTTCCAGTCCTAGTTCTTTGAGGTATCTCCATACTGATTTCCACAGTGCATGTTTCTTTAATAAATAAGCACTTAAAAATAAAAAGAAATAAAATAAACCTACCTTGTACCTAACTACTGGAGAAGTGCATTTCATTATACTATTTGAAAAGAGTTGAAAGCAGAACAAAACAGTTACAAATTTCAAAGGAAACAAAATTTTAATGTACATTAATGACATAACTACAAAACCTTTATGTGTAGGTAGATATTTCTTTTAAAAGTAGGTTTTTCAGATTAGGAGGGTAAACCTTACTTTCAGATTCTAACACAGTATATAAAGGATTTATCCTATTTGATTGAACACTTTTCTAATGTAAGAGATCATTTGCTTAAAAAAAAAGAAATCAGCTGTATTTTCAGCTGCTTTATATTATCCTTAGCTGATTATAGTCCTCTGCCAAAGTGAAGTGAAGGAGAACAAAGGAACTAAATGGAATTTAAACCCTGTCATGTTGTTATGCGAGAGAGGGTCAAGGAATAGAATGGAAAAGCCTTCAGTAAGATTGCAGGAAGATATTTTTTCATTTATACTTTGTATTTTCAATTCCTAAGAAATAGGTACTGATGATTATTTTCAAATGACAGACCAAAGTAGAGGTAATTTGGCACATTATCCATTATGTTGGATTATCTTTTTATACTCTGCTATTTTTATAAGAATTGTGTATACCTTGTCTTATTGGGTGCTTTGAGTTCTATTAAGTCATGTTTGTAGCAAAAGATACTTACAGGGCATACATATGTATGTGTCTCACTTTTTGTGTCTGTTTTGTGTTGTGAATGTATATATGCAGTGTACACATATGGTGTGTATGTAAATATGTATATATACATGTACTCAAACACACAGACTTGGGGGGAATTAATCATGATTTAGATTTACTTTTTAAATTATTTTTATTATATATATAGTAACATAAGATGTCCCACTTACAAAGGAAACTTGAATTTTAAATTGTGCAGTGGTACCTCAGTTCATGAACCTAATTTGTTCCACGATTCTGGAAAGCATGCCGCGCTCGTACTTGCTCAGGAAAGATAGTCACAGTTGTGTCCGTCACCTGATGCAGAGTTCACAAGCAAAAACAGAATTTTGCCAAACACTTCTGTTTGTGAACCAAATTGTTTGCAAACAGAAGCATTCATGAACTAAGGCGTCACTGTATTTGCTAAAGCCAAAACCTTCTCAGATCTCTTATATTCCTCCCTTAATACAAATAATTTTTAATAGTACTTTTTCTGAATCAATCTTTTAAGTCACAGACTGAATTTCAGCTAGGAAGTTCTTTCATTTGTTTATTTTCTCTATTCACTTTGTTTTAATGGACAGACTGCTGTTTTTTGTTTGTTTTTTGTAGGGCACATTCACTGAAATCCCTGCTAGCAATATTCGAAGAGTTATTGCCAAGAGGTTAACTGAATCTAAAAGTACTATACCTCACGCATATGCTACGGCTAACTGTGACGTTGGTGCAGTTTTAAAAGTTAGACAAGACCTGGTCAGAGGTTAGTAAAGTTGAGTTTCCTTCATGTAGTACATATGTTAACTGTCATGAAGTCCTTTATTTATAAAATGCACATTGTGTAGCTTTTAATTTTATTTTTATAATCTAATTGCACTCTACATATGTTTTAATACTAGAGAAAAGAATTGATTATGCTTTCCTATAGGAAATAAATTGGATCCATAGTGTTAAATAAATCACAGATGTGTATTACCTATAGGTAGAATAGAGATTTCTGTTCTGCTTTGCTTTTATTCCATGATCTCTTTTGTGATATTTTAATAATTTGCATTTAGTTAACATTCATTCAGCAGGCAAATACTGAGTTTAACTCTGCCACACATTGAGTTTTACAAATAGTTGGTTGTTGTTTTAAGCAAAAATAGGCTTAATTTTTTTGGTTTGCTTTAACTTCACCCATGTGAACTGTTAGGATACATGAGTCACTTAGGCTAAATGGTTGTTGATTTTGAGTATTTTGTGATATGATATCTGAAGAAAATAATCCTTAACAGTTTAGCAAGTTTGAAATCCAAAACTAATTAAAGAATGTTTTAGGTTATAATAA